TGTTCACAAGAAACATACGCATATTTGTGGCTTTAACTGAATTTCTGAGAACTGTATTATAGCTGTCGGCTCTGTGGCTAAGTCGATGCGGACGCTTTCTAATGCCGGTATGCCGGGTTCGATCCCAGCTGTGGGCCATGTGCCTTGCGTTATTTTCGACAGTGGTATCAAGAAAGCCGACCGTCCAGAAAGCAATGACAAACTACTGGAAGTAAATTTGCCTAGAAAAACCACACAACAGCCAGGGGCTGTTGGGGTTGGTTCTGCAACGTCCTGTAAAGGATACGCAACTAACCTAGTATTCTATCCCTAGGATACTTGGAAGTATTTCATCCTCATCATTGCTATCATCATTATCATAATCATCTTCATTATCATCGTCACCATCATTTAGCTTGCGGGAGAGGGTGTGTATGGGTGGAGTGTTGGATTTGTTCCCTATCTGACACAATCAAGAAAGTCTGGGATCCGCATTTGTTTTTGTAAAAAGATCTTGTTTACGCCTCTAGGGGTACTGGGCACAGAGCACGTGACCTATAGTTTACAGACCAATCATCACTGAGTAATGTGGTCAGCATCATACAGGCTGCCATTACTTCCCAGGACTTTATCTGCTACCCATTTAGGGCTGGTTCCATCTGAGAGCCAAATTCATTTTTTTAAATAGTCTAGCTGCCTGGAATCCACAGGCAAGCGTTTTGTTTTTAATACAAATTTTGTTTTGTTGTTAGGTCGGCGAGGACTTTGTCTATTTGTTTTTATGTTTATTTGGTTTTTTTTTTTACGTAAATTGTTTCGTTCTTTCCAACCGATACTACATTTTCGAGTTTAATTCTCTTAATTATTAGCTCACACAATCTTGTCTTCTTTTTTCTTCTTCTTTCGTTCGCCTGAAATAAGTTGTCTATATCAGCAATTTTGACTCTTGTATAAATTTCACTGTCGTTGTTAGTTCATTCAGTGGTCCATAGAGTTTACGTTCCACTGTTGTTCTTTCTGGCCAAAAGGTTTGCCCTAATGTGTCAAATTCGGTGCAGTCCTGGAGTACATGCTCTGCTGTCTGGGGCACCATTCCACAGGTGCACATGGCTGAAACGCCTATCTTGAATTTTGTGTACATGTGTACAATCTTATCAATTTGCATCAAATTTCTCTAAAAAAGTTATGAATTTCTGGAGGATTGATCACTCATTTTTATTCGCTTTAAATATATTCAATCGTCACCCCCTTGTGTGATGCAATTCTTAGTTATTTTGAAGCCCCATTCTGGCTTTTGCCGGGGGTCCTAAATATATAGATGCGCCTGAAATATGGCCTAACGGCTGAACGGGGTTTCCTGGACCAACCCACGGGTGTTCCTCATCTGCATGGTGGGGCTTTGTGTCACCGGGTGTTTATCGACTGTGTGATGTCCTGGCGTGGTACAAAACCACATTTTAACAAACATTATCTCACTATGTGTGCGTCATATCAATGTTTTACATGCATAAAACAGGTTCTTTACATCATTTCTAAATTTTTATTATTGAAAGCGACAGTAGTTAGTAAACAAATTTCTCTCTCCCCCCCCCCCTCTCTCTCTCTCTCTCTCTCTCTCTCTCTCTCTGTCTGTGTGTGTATATATATATATATATATATATATATATATATATATCCAACCCGGACAAAAAAAAAAAAAATTAGCAGGGAATTACATTATAACATTACAATAGATACTATGGGATGTGTAATGTCTCTAGATCTTGTTTCTTTGTATGGTGAAAATATTAGACCCCATCTTAAAGAGGTAACTGTAAATTGAAGCCTTTAGACAACGAATACATCCTGGTGGGAGCCTGAACTCCACTGTGCGTGGAGTCAAATTGATGTTCCATGATAAGCGGGCATCGATGGAAATGAAAGAGCTGATAGGTTGACTGGATCCACTATCATTACCGACGGTCAACCTATGGATTATGCTGATATTATAAATGCCCTACGAGAAATGGGAAGGAAAGAGGACTTTGTCCGTGAATCCACATCATTCACCAGAATGGCAGACTTGTAAATTAAGATCGAAATAGCAAAAAAAAAAAAAAAAAAAAGACGCACACCAGAGGACTTGTTAATCAACATAGAACTGGTACTATTAGCCATCGGACGTTGGGGTTCATACTGAGGGGAGGATCTGAGCACCTAGGGATATGTCCGGAGTGTAATGATTATAATGTTACTTACTAACTAACTAACTAACTAACTAACTAACTAACTAACTAACTAACTAACTAACTAACTAACTAACTAACTAACTAACTAACTAACTAACTAACTAACTAACTAACTAACTAACTAACTAACTAACTAATTAACTAACTAACTAACTAACTAACTAACCAACTAACCAACTAACCAACTAACCAACTAACCAACAAACTAACTGAAAGACGTGACATTAAATGTAACGTCAATAGTTTTCTTCTTCTTCGCGTTCACCAGCTGTACACTCTGGCGGAAAGTTCTGGTTGCTCGTCCACTACTGAACTGCAGTCCTGCTCCAGAACCTGAGTGTTGCGTGTGCATCAGTTTTACAAATCTCATTCTCTTGAATACAGACTGTTAGTTCCTTGCCTCTCCGGCAGATGTACTCCGACTTCAAAGGAAGCCCCCTAATTAGTCGACTCTTACGACATGCTTTTGGGGAGGCAGTGAGTCTATTCTAGTTGTCCCCACAATTGGGCCCAGGAACCCACACGGGGGAACGTCAATAGTATACAATATGTAGATAATACGATGTCAGGTGCAGACACTGACGAAAATCTGCAGTGTTTAGTGGATGCAGTAATATTTCACAGTGAGAAACTATGCTTAGAAATAAACTGTTTAAAAAAAACACGCAATTATGGTCATCATCAAGAATACAGAAATACTAAAGTGTGAAATACACGCAAACGGCAAAATTCAAAAACAAGTTAGTATATATATATATATATATATATACATATAACAATTTAGGAACAGTCCTTACAATTGATGCAAGATGCCTTGCAGAAATTAGAAGGAAAAAATTATAAAATTGCCATAATAAAAAATGTAAAAAAAAAAAAAAAACAGGACCAGACTTGTGATAGTTATGATTGGTTGCTTGTGTATTAGCTGTGTGTGTGTGTGTGTGTGTGTGTGTGTGTGTGTGTGTGTATGGGGGGGGGGTGTAATTCCTACCATAGCTGCTGTTCATTGTCACCAGAGACACAGTCCGTGTATCTCTTGAGAATCGCCTTATTCTTACCTTTAGTACAAATACATCTAGGGGACTTAACCGTCAACATTGTTTCATTCAACATCCTCGAGTCACGGCCCTTGGTACTCTCAGGTTATTTAGTTTTTGCGGGCAAGCATGTCTTTTAGTTTACTGACCGTACAACAACGTGGCTGCTATCGGGAATACGTCAGTGAAGTGATTGTGTTTTCGTGTCTGTATTTGTTGTTTTGTTGGTCTATGTAATATGCTGATACAGGCTCTATAACCGCAACCTTCATTTTCCGTTTATGTTTGATATATTATTAAGCTCGCTAGTCGACTTTTTGTCTGGTTTATAACTATTCATTGTCTGTATCATCTTAATTTTTTATTCTTAAAAAAAAAAAAAAAAAAAAAAAAAAAATGTGTCATCTCCACAAATGATGTTGGTAGAAGTTAAATATTCGTCAACACTGTTTTTGTCAATATTATATGGCGAGGTCGCACTAGAGCCCATGAACCCACCTTCACATCACTTTCCTAAAAGCGACGAGGGGAGTCTTTTTTTAATTAGCCTGACTCGGAAATTGAACTCTGGTACATCAAACCTTGTGAAACGTATTCACTAAATTCTAAGCCGCACTGCCGCGTATCTTATACCGTGACCTAATTTTCTTGCCCCAATTTAGGAAAGTCTTTTTATAATCCTTTCAGTTGTTATTATGTAATGATGCATCAGATAAAAGATACAAATCAAATTCCACCCAGTATTTATGCAAACCACCTCTGCTAAACTGGGGTAGGATTCTTTTTTAAAAGTTAATTTACAGCAAGGAACTTTACAATAATATCACCAGCTGTGACAAACAATTCACTCTTAAACTTGAACTTGTACAAATGTTGTTTAAGAGCTTGCGCACCAAGATCTATCACGAAAGACCTCAACATGATAGAGGATGGTAATTATTACCCCCCCCCCCCCCCCCAAATGACGAATAAAGTATTTGGGCATGTAAATAAACATTAAGTTTATAAAATATGAACATGGAGGCAGGCGTTCCTGGAAAGTGGAGAAAATAAAGACCACAATAAAGATACACGCGCTTTGTGGTAGATGATTTACACATGACAACAACATGGGGTGTTTATCTGGCTCAAAATGAAGTTACACTTTTTCGTCGTTTCCTTCTTTCGTTTTTTTTTTCTTTTAATGTATCCGAGCTATCAAAATGATCACTCAGGATTGTTCTTGTCACTGACGGCGATAAGGAATGAATCGTTTGAGCAGGACAACTTCTTAAAGGTACAAATAAAGGCTTGTCTTTAATTTTTGATCATCGGGAGTTATTTGTCATACACTGAACAATGGGTAATTAAAAGTGGCGGAAGCCGTGGCAATTAAGACGGACGATCACAAGTTATGGATTCCAAATAATCAACTAGTTAACCTTAGGATTCTGTTTGTAACATGTACAATGTAAAAACATACAGTGTGATTAGTGTATCTAAATTGAACTGATTCATGTTCTGTGATTCATTTTATGTTTTAATGCACATAAAAATATAAAGTAAAATATACAATGTAATAAAGTGTGCAAAATTGAGTTTGTGCCATCACTATTTATTCGTTTCGTTGTCGAGAGTATCCTTTTGATAATCTTGTGTAAACAATAACATGTGATCTTCCGTTTATTTCAGGCTCTCATTTAGAGTAAGTTGGTTGAAAATTGTTTCCTTGGATTCATCTACAGGAGATTGGGGGTTTCCGATCGTCCTCTTGGTTTCAAATTGCGGGGCATGAAGTGTTGTTAGCCAGCCATGATTGAAAATCCGAGGTGCTGAGTTTACGGGCTTCACTTTTGCAAGCCATGATAAACTTGGCAATGCTGCGAAGGAGTGTCTCGCTGATCAACTTGAAAATGTATGTCACAAAATCATCAGCAAGGTATGGCATATAGTCGTGAGTTACGTCGCCGAACATCCCTAGGCAGCACATGTAAATGAGAATAGCTTCGTCACCACCGCCATCTTTGTCGTAGGTAGTGGGAGCCTCGTTGCAGAAGGTAGCCACATTCTTTGACTGCAAGAGAATCAGCTCGCAGAAGTCGATCACACACTGTTTGGGTGGAATTGTCATACTGACCAAAGGTGCAGTCAGCAAGACAGACAACGCTACCTGGAAAACAGAAGAGATATTTTTTATGTATGTTAGTGTGTTATAGAAATCATATGTATTACAAAAGATATAATTATGTAGTTTAAATTAGAAATCAGATATGTAACTGGAAATGGCAGAGAAGAAGAATTTATCTACTATATCAGACATTTAACAAGAGAGATGTCATTATGTATGTTTGTTTTATGACAAGTTAGATATCGCGAGAGCCCTTAGGGAGCGAGTAGACAGTACGAGGGCGCATCATTACTGTTTATTGAAAATGGCGCTGCGATAAGTTACCAGTGGATCTGGCCGACACGCAACACTCAGGGCAATATTGAGACGGATTTACTATCAGACGGTTACTGGTACCACCAGATTTAAAACGCTTCACTTGCTTCTGAAGATGGAGACTGAGAACTTATGGGAGTTGCCCGAGTGCTGTGGTATAATGGTTTGTTTGTTTTGAATATCATAATGCCACAAAAGATATCATTATTTACTCTAGTTTAGTTTAGAGATAAGACATGTAATACGTGATAGCATTATAATGGTTTGTTTGTTTGTTTTATACATCACAATGCCACAAGAGATATCATTATTTAACCACGACACCACCCTACAACCTGGTTATCAAGTGAAGCAACAACAACAACAACAAATAAAAAAAAAAAAGAAGAAGAAAAAAAAATCACGACAGGAATAAAATACAAATCAGAGACTTTCAAAATAAATCCTTCAAGAGAATACTGTGAACATTTTCGCCAAATAAGATCTCACATGACGAATATAGGAGGTGTCCAATATCACTAGCAAACCATTATCAAAGGATGAAGATAGAAATGGCTTGGACATGTTTGCAGAACGCCTCTTGACACTTTCGTGAAGAACATCTCCTCGGCGGACAGCAGATTAGAAAAAGTATGGCTTGAAAAAAACTAAGAGAAAGACATTAGAAAAGGTAAAAAACGAATGAAAAATTACACGAAAAACCATAGGCTGAATTGTAGCTGACCGGCAGCAATGTGGATGACTTGAATGTTAAATGTTGCAGTCAAATTCATATCACAGCACTCGCACACTCCTCATAAGCGCTCCGTCTCTATCTTCAGCAGCAACCTAGGAGTCCCAAATTCCGATATCACCAGTAACTGCATATCCGTCTCGCCTTTCCCTTAACTCTTTACGGACGTTTAGCCAGGATACTGTCGATTAAGTCTATCTCTTAAAAACGTATAGCCAGTTTACTGGATCATGATAGAGACACTCTAATTTTATTCCGTTTGTAAGGAAAACGATCTTTCAAAACAAGTTTTTTAACAATTAGGATTAACAATAGGAAGTGCTTTTGTTTGTTATGTTTATCGTGGTCAGTACATTATTTTGTGATAAAATAAATTTATTCAGATGGGCTACAATTTGTAGGTGATTTTCTAAACTAAATGATAAGGGAAAAGATCTAGAACTGTTCATACTGCTCTATCGTTGATGAATCTCTGCTAGAGGCGGACAACAGTCTTGATATTATGATTGATATCTGATTGATAAATCTACTAGCTATAATTTAGTTTAAGATATGAAAATTTTACAAAACGTTTCGTTCAGATCAATGTTTCGATCAGCAGTTTTTCAGATTTTCGGTTGTTGTGAAAATTGACATGTCATACAAAAATTATTATAACATCCAAAGTATTTAAATTAATTGTTTCAAATAAAGACTAACTTATACATAATTGAACAGAGAAGGCAAGTGCATTCTTAGAATTTGATAGCAGTGTTGTTGAACAAGTAAAAGATAAGGTAAGCACAACATTTTTTATATCAATAATTTTCATATGTGTCTAACATCCTTGAATGTTGTTTGATTTTAATAATATTTTGTTGTTATACTGACATTTAAGTAGTTTAGATTTATTCTGCACTCATTTATCTTTAATTTGATATATGTCCCGATACAGCCAACACTTTTTCTTCAAAAAGGTTTTAGCTTTGTCATGTTGCACTAACAAAATTCCGCTGAAAGTTAATTCTGTGTAAACCCCAGCAAAAATTACTTTCCCAAGTAGTTGAGTCTTGAACTTCGGTCAGATCCCCCAGTAGCTAATCGCAGCGCCATTCTCCTCGGATTAATGATCTATTTGTGCCTCAGCACAATGGGGATGACTTTAAATGTTTTATGTGTTAACAGCCGCAAAAAAGAGGATATAGATAAATAGAACAGAGGAAAATATGCAAATATAATAATCACTAATATACAAGATATTCGATAAAGGATCTACTCATTTATAATGAATTAATTATGCAGTATATATATCAAGACAGCAAGTGAAATGGTTTGCCCACTTAGAGAGAATGCCTTGTGACACCATACCATACAAAGCATACATGGAAAGAGAAGAAGGACGTAGAGCACGGGGTAGACCAAGAACAAGATGGAAGGATAACATCAGAGAAACTCTACAACAGCACGATGTGCCTATGGTCGAGGCAGCCAGAAGAGCTAGAAACAGAACCTTTTATCTCCTTCGACACCCACAGCGGTAAAAGAGGAAGTGAAGAAGAAGAAAAAGAAGAAGTATGTACATCGAAATAAATCATTAATACATAGCCTAATACAATAACTAAACATTTACGAGCTTATTTTTTCTTAATACTGTGGAGCAGGAGTAACATAGAACTTTGAGCCCTTGTATGTCAAGAACAGTGATCCTGTTCATTCCATAGCAGTCAATGTTATTCCCCCCCCCCCCCCCCTGAACAGTACTAGTGGGGTCATAAGAGGAAAAATCCATACAGAACCAAATTGAATTTAAATTACCCTTTAAAAAAAGCAAACACAATCATTTGCCCATTTGGACAGGACGCTTCACAATGCCGATCCATACAAAACAAACACATAAAGAGAAAGAGATGAACATAGAGCACAATGTAGATCAAGAACAAGATTGAAAAGTAACCGGAGAGAAACTCAACGATAGCATCATGTGTCTATGGTCAGGGGGCCCAGATAAGCAAGAAACAGGACTGTATATCTCCCTTATCTCCTGAAACTATAACACAGGACCGTATATCTCCCTCATCTCCTGAAACCATAACACAGGACAGTATATCTTCCTCGACTCCTGAAACAATAACACAGGGCCGTATATCTCCCTCGACTCCTGAAACCATAACACAGGGCCGTATATCTCCCTCGACTCCTGAAACCATAACATAGGGCCGTATATCTCCCTCGACTCCTGAAACCATAACACAGGACAGTATATCTCCCTCGACTCCTGAAACCATAACACAGGACCGTATATCTCCCTCGACTCCTGAAACCATAACACAGAACCGTATATATCCCTCGACTCCTGAAACCATAACACAGGACCGTATATCTCCCTCGACTCCTGAAACCATAACACAGGACCGTATGTCTCCCGCATCTCCTGAAACCATAACACAGGACCGTATATCTCCCTCATCTCCTGAAACCATAACACAGGACCGAATATCTCCCTCATCTCCTGAAACCATAACACAGGACCATATATCTCCCTCGACTCATGAAACCATAACACAGGACTGTATATATCCCTCGACTCCTAAAACCATAACACAGGACCGTATATCTCCCTCATCTCCTGAAACCATAACACAGGACCGTATATCTCCCTCATCTCCTGAAACCATAAGACAGGACAGTATATCTTCCTCGACTCCTGAAACAATAACACAGGACCGTATATCTACCTCGACTCCTAAAACCATAACACAGTACCGTATATCTACCTCGACTCCTAAAACCATAACACAGGACCGTATATCTACCTCGACTCCTAAAACCATAACACAGGACTGTATGTCTACCTCGACCCCTGAAACCATAACACAGAACCGTATATCTACCTCGACTCCTGAAACCATATGACAGGACAGTATATCTGCCTCGACTCCTGAAACAATAACACAGGACCGTATATCTCCCTCATCTCCTGAAACCATAACACAGGACCGTATATCTCCCTCATCCCCTGAAACCATAACACAGGACCGTATATCTTCCTCATCTCCTGAAACAATAACACAGGACCGTATATCTCCCTCATCTCCTGAAACCATAACACAGGACCGTATATCTTCCTCATCTTCTGAAACAAAAACACAGGACCGTATATCTCCCTCATCTCCTGAAACCATAACACAGGACCGTATATCTTCCTCATCTCCTGAAACAATAACACAGGACCGTATATCTCCCTCATCTCCTGAAACCATAACACAGGACCGTATATCTCCCTCATCTCCTGAAACCATAACACAGGACCGTATATCTCCCTCGACTCCTGAAACCATAACACAGGACCGTATATATCCCTCGACTCCTGAAACCATAACACAGGACCGTATATCTCCCTCATCTCCTGAAACCATAACACAGGACCGTAAATCTCCCTCGACTCCTGAAACCATAACACAGGACCGTATATCTCCCTCGACTCCTGAAACAATAACACAGGACAGTATATCTCCCTCATCTCCTGAAACCATAACACAGGACTGTATATCTCCCTCATCTCCTGAAACAATAACACAGGACAGTATATCTCCCTCATTTCCTGAAACAATAACACAGGACAGTATATCTGCCTCGACTCCTAAAACCATAACACAGGAAGTGAATTATAGAATAGAGTCATCATCATCATGTAGCAGGTCCTTTGCAGAGCGTCGCTCTTATCACGGTCTGTCTGAAAGAAGGTCTCTCGCCAGTTCTCCCGCCTCATGTACTTTCATGCTCAAGGAGTCACTTATATCCTGTGCCCATCTTTGTGTTGGTCGGCCCCTGCCCCTCCTTCCTAGTACCATGCCTTCTGCTATATTTTTTTCGAATCCGTCGTGGCGCTTGATATGACCAAAATATTTCAGCTTCTGAGACAGGATGCTGTTTATTACCCAATCTTCAGATCTTTCAGGATGTCAGTATTTCTCCTCTTTTTCGTCCAAGATATTCTGAGAATCTTTCTATAGCATTTCAGCTCAAAAGCCCCTATTCTCTTTCTTAAGGACTCACATCCGTATGTTGCTACAGGGAAGATGCGTGCTTTCAAAATTGTCATTTTGATTTTCTTGCTGGTGCTTAGCCATAGACTTTTAAGGCTGTTTAATCTTTGCATTGCTATGGCTATCCTCCTTTTAATTTCTGTCAAACAGTCTCTATTGCTATTTATAATAGAGTCTAGATATTCAAAGTTTGTGACATTTTCAATTGATATCTTCTTAATACATGAGATACTTCAATTACGTCCTTTTTAGGACGTAATTTTTTGTTATTTGAAGCCCCACTCTGGCTTTTGCCAGGGGCCACAATATAGGCAGGCCATCAATATGGCCAATTGTCTGAACGCGGTTTCTGGGACCTCTCCACGGTGATCCTCATCCGCATGGTGGCACTTTGTGTCATCGAGTGTTTATCGCTTGTGTGATGTCCTAGTGGGGTAGAAAGTCAGCCAGTCAGTCATTTTCAATTTCAGCATCATTTATTGTTTTTTATATAAAAGAGTATCTGGCAATTTTCGTGACTGCCAAGATATTGTCAACAACAACAAAAAAAGGCAACGAGAAATAGAATTAGCCAAAAAGGCAACAAGAAATAGAATTAGCCAAAAAGGCAACGAGAAATTGAATCAGCCAAAAAGGCAACGAGAAAAAGAATTAGCCAAAAAAGGCAAAGAGAAATAGAATTAGCCAAAAAGGCAACGAGAAATTGAATTAGCCAAAAAGGCAACGAGAAAAAGAATTAGCCAAAAAGGCAAAGAGAAAAAGAATTAGCCAAAAAGGCAACGAGAAATTGAATTAGCCAAAAAGGCAACGAGAAAAAGAATTAGCTAAAACGGCAACGAAAAATATAATTAGCCAAAAAGGCAACGAGAAATAGAATTAGCCAATTATCTCGTAGATTAAGACCTTAAATTTATAGAGACCTAAAACTTAACCATAAAGACTATGAATATTTTTTTCCTGTCTTCTTCTTCTTCTTCGTGTTCACCAGCTGTAAACTCTGGTGGAAAGTTCTGGTTGTTCGTCCACTTGAAAAACTATAGTCCATTTCCAAACTGTGCGCGGCGGCGCCCTGAGAAGCCGCGACCTCTTCACATGTGCGACGCGAAATATTCAAAGATACACGAGTTTTATTTTTGTTAATCTCTTACACACGAATAGTCATCCTTTTACTTAGGTTAGGGCGCCGTGAAAAAAAAATTTAATAAAAAAAAAAAAAAAAAGGCGCTGTGATTATGAAAAGTTTTGGAAACACTGCTATAGTCAGTTCCAAAAGTCTTGCCGAGCTTTACAAATCTGTAACTCAGTAAATGTTCGGTGAGAGTTGTTACATTTTGGTTGCAGACTGTTAATAATCATGCTCGCTAATAATTATTTTTAATGTAAACAGACATCTTGTTTTTAATTTCCTTATTTGTGGTATATCAAACAATAGACACCAATTCAAAGCAAACAAACAATCAGTAGGCTTGCTAGAGAACAAGATGCATACACATGTCGTAATTGTAACGGATTCTGAAAGCATGCTGGGAAAGGTGAAAACAGGGATGCTTCGAGCAGAGTGGCAAGCATCACTGGAAAGGTCACGGGTAGTAAGCATACTTTGGATCTTTTCTCCAGGCCTTTTCGGCGTGGAAGGTAATGAACAGGCAGACAGATTGGTTGGATCTGCACCAATGGGTGGTGAACTGATACATGACAAGGCAGATGTGGTAGACTCTAAGGGAACAAGCAACGAAATCAGTAGAGATAGAAGATTGTTATTGCCTGGAGAGAATGATACACCTGGGTGTAACCAGAGGATCTGGCCGGCTGACCACACTCAGAGGAAAGGCCAGACGGATATTTAACCAGATTGTGACCGGTACCATCAGTATTGGAACTCTGCGTTGGCTGCTGAAGATAAGGACAGAGCATTCATGGGAATTCCCCGAGTGCTGTGATGTCAATTTTTGACTCAACTCAGTTAGCGTGCTTACAGTAATTGCAGCAAATTGAGTAAAGGGAAGTTTTCAAAACATCAAATTTCACTCGTTTCACAGCCATTTTCCTCTAAGCTGGTCATCTCTAGGATTAGTCTCACTTGAGTTGCGGATTTTTCCTTGAGTGGGGCTATCAAAATTATCACTATGAATCGGGCACACATTGAACTGATTTCCAAACAGTCTCCACACTTGTGTCAATAACTATATTCTATTTTCCTGGAGTATAAAAGTTTTTAGGCAAGCGAAACTTGACCAACGAAATTTGCCGCCTCAAGAAATCGGGAGCATCAGCGCAATTTTAATTGATAGAATCATACCTTGATATAGGCAATCAAAGGAAATCGGGAGCATCAGCGCAATTTTAATTGATAGAATCATACCTGGATATAGGCAATCAAAGGAAATCGGGAGCATCAGCGCAATTTTAATTGATAGAATCATACTTGGATATAGGCAATCAAAGGATATATGCAAACATATGTGTTGTTCCGTGTGGAAGTTTTCGAGATGTTTATTAAAATTTGATGGCAGGAGTTTTGACTAAAACAAATAATGTATTTAATTGTGACAATCAAAGTGGACAACCAAAATGGGAAAGAAATATATTGCAATTAAATATTGACCACTTACCAACTTGTACAT